TTCACCTAAAATAGTGCCACGCCCCTCATCGTGCAAATTATGCCTGATATTAACGATAAACCATTGTTAACGAAAAAACGATTCTGCGCGGAGTTCAGAATTGTCTATAATACTATGGTATAATAATTAAACAGGCATTTTATATTTTCTTTAATAATATTTGTTTAATATTATACCGATTTTCCCGTTTTTCCCGGTTTTCCCATATTTTCCTCGGTTTTTTACATTTACTGAGAAGACTATTAGGAAAATCGAAAAATGACCTCCTACTTTCCTAGTACTTTCCTAGTCAAACTTCCCTTAAGAAAAATGCTATTATTGTAAATTTGAGGATCAATGGACAATTTGTACTTGGATGCATCGCTTGGAGTATTATGATACGTGTATTATACGACCGGTTTTTAATTAAAAATTAATTGCAATCAAAATATAAAATGCGATTGAATATAAAAAATTAAATGAAGAAATACACAAAAAAAAAAAATTAAATTTTAACACGGCTATTAACTTTTAATAGCCGTGGCTTATGATCCATAATTTTATTAACTCTACAAATGTTAACGATGGAACAAAAGATCGAGATTTTGAAGTAAGTTAGAAACACAAAGCTTGTCATCAGAAATTCTTTTAGACGGAAGTGGATAAGATTCAGACGCACCACAGATAATAATATTTCCAGTATATGAAGCCCGTAGTTTAATCTCGGCAGCTATGTAGTTAAGTGAAAATGTATTTTTGGTAAATATATTAAAATATTATTCTCGGCCATGGTGTTTTCATTGGTAGTGACACTGATCTCAAGAGCAATTAAATGTTTGCCCAAGAACTTTATGCCATTTTTGATAGTAGTTAAATGTTTAGTAAATTAATTTACGGATTGGTCACGGGATACTACGTTTTTCCCTTGTTATAACTTATAACACTTAATCGCTGTAAAGTTTAACCAAAGATGAGATATTCTTTAACATCTTATTCAGCTTTTTTTTGGTTTGATTTTATAGCCTGTAGTTCCTTAAGAATACTATTGAAACTGACTTAGGTATCACCAAGAACGGGAGAACTCATACAAGAATTACAACTACTTCATGGGTTAATCAAAGAAGAAACAGAGATTTGAGATGGGGAGTTTACATAAGCAGAATGAAAAATATTCTTGCATATCAGGTAAATGACAGATTCAGGTCACGCTAAAAGAGGTTCTGTACAAGTTCCACAATTTGTGTAACAAATAAACGAACTATTGAAGTAGTAGCCCCTTAATATGAATGAGGTTACTAAAGATTACAAAAACGTAAATTAGTTTGATGTCACCAACAAATTAAGGCGTGCTAAATCGAGAAAGTAACGAGTAACCTAACCAGTTGACGCGAAAGAATGAAGGTACATATAATTAGATGGCCACAAAGTACAAAAACGATAAGTGATCAAGTGATCAATCCAGTGAAGTCCAATCTAATGAAATTTACGTGGTCGAGAATAATATGGAATAGAGTTCTATTCTATATTATAATGATATTATATTGATAAAAACTTTACCAGAGTACCGGATAGTACTCGAGTACAAAGTCCAAAAAACTGATAATACAGGTGGTAGATAATAATGTGTAGTAAAAAAAGCAATTATGAAAACCAATATATTCCCGGCGCTGCAAAGATTATCATGTGGACAAAGCACGAATTTTAAAGAAAAAAGGCACAGATTTTAGTACAAATTATGAAAAAACCGTTCTGGCATTATAAAAAAATAAATAAAATGGAAAAGAGCATAATGTTATTATTACTTTCTTTATATTATATTGCCAAACCAATATGGGCATATAGAATAATACTTGAAAAAAGTATTATTTTCAAATTAATTTTTGTTGAGATGCACTTAAAAATATTCATCGATTTAAAATTTGTAAAGAAAAATAAATATAAGTTTTCTGTTCAATTTCAAGTCTTAAAAATTTAAGATTATAAACGGAGAGAAAAATGTATTAGTTTTAAGATGATAATAATATTCAATATATAAAAAATAACAATATAGACCGAGCTATATTAAAAAAAATAAATTCCGATCTCATATATTCTTTTAATTATTAATAATTATAGTAAATAAAATAAATTATAGCCTAACAGAATCGTGTTTTTAGTTTTTTCCAATTATTCTCATAATGAAGTCAAATTACAAAAATTATTTTATCTGTTATCCAATTTAGATTCTTAGTGGAGCCAAAAAGCTTATGGTTTTACAATTATGATAATTATTTTTTTTACGTAACTAAATCATATACTAAAAAGCTTACTCCAAATTGTAAATTTTTAGAAATAAAATCACTGTGCAGAGGTACCTTAAATAGGTAATTCATTGATTTTTAAATTGGATAATCGTCAACGTAATAATATAATGACATCATACGTACGAATGTAAATGCAGTACGAAAAACTTCCATATAGCAGATAGTTCGTACATGATTTTACAAAATACGAAATCTTGTTCGTAAATCACCAAAACACTGAATATTTTATAGACAAAAACGCATTCAGTGTGCACAAGTCGTACGACCAGTAGTCGTAAGTGTTTATCCAATACAAATTCGTATCCAATTTACACGCGGCCCACGCATACAATGTGTACGAACGACATATTCATACGAGGTACAACAGATACATCGNTTTCATTATTATGTTTAAATAGTTTTTTAATTCGTTTATTTTTATAATAATATTTTTATATTATGCATGTAAACAAAGAAAAGGTAATAAAAACATTGTAAATAGAGATCAGAAATTAGTTTTAAAAGTGAGAGTTATGAGATTGTGCATCACCGACATATTTATACTACTTACAAATATAATGTGTACAAAGCATTTTTAACGAATTCATACGAAATACAGCAGATACATCGAAGTACTGGGACCGCAGGATTCGGATGTTATTGCCGAGACTCTTTGTGGCGGTCGACGGCCGAAAAATAATTCCGCAACGAGTCGTCAGCGCAGTTCGTCGCCGGCGCTTCGCATTCTGAAACTCATGATCTCCTGGTACTTTATGCTCGGTAGTAATATTCTCGTTTCGATGCCGACCACGCCCGACAAATCCACCTTAGAAAAGTTTCGAATCGTTAATAAAAATAATTTTTTTTATTAAATAGAATAATTATTAGAATAAAGCAAGTTTTAGTATNACGAGTCGTCAGCGCTGTTCGTCGCCGGCGCTTCGCATACTGAAACTCATGATCTCCTGGTACTGTATGCTCGGTAATAAAATTTTCGTTTCGATGCCGACCACACCCGACAAATCCACCTTAGAAAAGTTTCAAAACCCTAATAAAAAAAATTTTTTTTTATTAAATAGAATAATTATTAGAATAAATCAAGTTTTAGTATTTTAATATAACATTAAGAATATTGACGGAACTGTATTGAAATACATAAATTTCGATTTCTATACGTTCTTTTAATTGTTAATTTTAATAGTAAATACAATAAATATTATCCTATGATAATCATATTTATTGTCATTTTTGGTTTTCCCCAATTGTTCTCATCATGATGAAATTAAAAAGAAATAATTTCATCTGTTGCCCATTTCAGTTTATGAGTGAAGCAAAAATGTTTGTGGTTGTTTTAATAATGTTTAGTATTTTTTTTATGTGATTAAGATTTACTGAAAGGCTTGCTCCGATGTTCACGTGTAGATTTTTTTCCGAAATGTGATCGGTTTGGAAAACTACTCTAAGGAGGTAATTTTTGATTTTTTACAATATTATACCTCAGTAGAAATGAAAATCCTAAAAAAAAAAAAAAAACAGAAAATTTAAGAAATATATTAGTATAATATTATGATTTCTTTCTCTTTTGAACACTTTTTCACGAGAATACATACTCCGATTATCAAGTTTAGCACAATTCCTAAAAGAAATTTACAATAGACAGGAACGTTAAAAAGGTCAAATTTCGATTTTCGCCAGAGATTTCCCAAACTACTCTAAGGAGGTAATTTTTGATTTTTTACAATATTATTCCTCAGTAGAAATGAAAATCCTAAAAAAAAAAAAAACGGAAAATTTAAGAAATATATTAGTATAATATTGTGATTTCTTTCTCAATTGAACACTTTTTCACGAGAATACATACTCCGATTATCAAGTTTAGCACAATTTCTAAAAGAAATTTACAATAGACAGGTACGTTAAAAAGGTCAAATTTCGATTTTCGCCAGAGATTTCCCAAAAAAATTTCAGAGGAGTTTTAGAATCATTTTACATTGCGCACAGGTATATATTAAATTATCCAAAATAATTAATACACCCTTCCTTTCGATAAAGAACACAAGGAATCTTAAAGATATAAAAGAAAAAAAAAATTAAAAATCTGTTACTTATACGAATATTGATCGAGCAACTATTTTTCAGGACAACTTATTAGCTGTACGTATGAAAAATAAACTATGGATGAATTAAAACAACCGATTTATTTAACACTGTGTATTTTGGATTTAACTAAAACTCGAATGTATGATTTTAATTAAAACGTATTGAAACAATGTCAGATTATTATACGCAGACACAGATTCTTTAATAGTATAAATTACAACTGATGATTTGTATACAGCTAATAAAACAATAAACAACTTTAAAACGAATTTGATTTTTCAGATTAGCTAGAGAAAAATATGCATTAAAAGCCCGAAATTAATATAAGAGTTTCAGGTTAATTTAAAGATGAGCTTTATGGTCAAATGATAACAGAGTTTTTGGGTTAAGATCTAAATTATATTCATTTGATGTATTTGAAAAAAATTAAGTAAAAGGTGTGAAAAAACCAAGTTAAATACGAACGATGTTAAAAAAATCCTAAATAAGTAAAACAGAACACTTTTAGGACAGATACACATAACATATATACTGTTGAACGAAACAAGAAAGCTCATAGTACATACGATGATAAAAGATAAATTCTAGGAAAAAGTATTAATACAATAGTTTGGGCACATAATTCTACAAAAAAAGAGNCCGAGACTCTTTGTGGCGGTCGACGGCCGAAAAATAATTCCGCAACGAGTCGTCAGCGCTGTTCGTCGCCGGCGCTTCGCATACTGAAACTCATGATCTCCTGGTACTTTATGCTCGGTAGTAAAATTCTCGTTTCGATGCCGACCACGCCCGACAAATCCACCTTAGAAAAGTTTCGAATCGTTAATAAAAATAATTTTTTTTATTAAATAGAATAATTATTAGAATAAAGCAAGTTTTAGTATTTTAATATAAAATTATGAATATTGACGGAACTGTATTGAAATATATAAATTTCGATTTCTATACGTTCTTTTAATTGTTAATTTTAATAGTAAATACAATAAATATTATCCTATGATTATCATATTTATTGTCATTTTTGGTTTTCCCCAATTGTTCTCATCATGATGAAATTAAAAAGAAATAATTTCATCTGTTGCCCATTTCAGTTTATGAGTGAAGCAAAAGTGTTTGTGGTTGTTTTAATAATGTTTAGTTATTTTTTTATGTGATTAAGTTTTTACTGAAAGGCTTGCTCCGATGTTCACGTGTAGATTTTTTTCCGAAATGTGATCGGTTTGGAAAACTACTCTAAGGAGGTAATTTTTGATTTTTTACAATATTATTCCTCAGTAGAAATGAAAATCCTAAAAAAAAAAAAAACGGAAAATTTAAGAAATATATTAGTATAATATTATGATTTCTTTCTCTTTTGAACACTTTTTCACGAGAATACATACTCCGATTATCAAGTTTAGCACAATTTCTAAAAGAAATTTACAATAGACAGGTACGTTAAAAAGGTCAAATTTCGATATTCGCCAGAGATTTCCCAAAAAAATTTCAGAGGAGTTTTAGAATCATTTTACGTTGCGCACAGGTATGTATTAAATTATCCAAAATAATTAATACACACTTCCTTTCGATAAAGAACACAAGGAATCTCAAAGATATAAAAGAAAAAAAAAATTAAAAATGTGTTACTTATACGAATATTGATCGAACAACTATTTTTACAGACAACTTATTAGCTGTACGTATGAAAAATAAACTATGGATGAATTAAAACAACCGATTTATTTAACACTGTGTATTTTGGATTTAACTAAAACTCGAATGTATGATTTTAATTAAAACGTATTGAAACAATGTCAGATTATTTTACGCAGACACAGATTCTTTAATAGTATAAATTACAACTGATGATTTGTATACAGCTAATAAAACAATAAACAACTTTAAAACGAATTTGATTTTTCAGATTAGCTAGAGAAAAATATGCATTAAAAGCCCGAAATTAATATAAGAGTTTCAGGTTAATTTAAAGATGAGCTTTATGGTCAAATGATAACAGAGTTTTTGGGTTAAGATCTAAATTATATTCATTTGATGTATTTGAAAAAAATTAAGTAAAAGGTGTGAAAAAACCAAGTTAAATACGAACGATGTTAAAAAAATCCTAAATAAGTAAAACAGAACACTTTTAGGACAGATACACATAACATATATACTGTTGAACGAAACAAGAAAGCTCATAGTACATACGATGATAAAAGATAAATTCTAGGAAAAAGTATTAATACAATAGTTTGGGCACATAATTCTACAAAAAAAGAGAGAAAAACTTTCATGGAACACTTTGATAATTTAATATAAACAAATAATAAAAAAGAATGATAATTTTAATATAAACTATTTTTGGTAAATAATCTATTTCAAGGGCGATGTTTAATATATTACATTATTTCTTTATGTTAAAGATAAGTTTTTCCTAGTGCAATGTTTGTGTAACAATTAGTTTCATTATTATGTTTAAATAGTTTTTTAATTCGTTTATTTTTATAATAATATTTTTATATTATGCATGTAAACAAAGAAAAGGTAATAAAAACATTGTAAATAGAGATCAGAAATTAGTTTTAAAAGTGAGAGTTATGAGATTGTGCATCACCGACATATTTATACTACTTACAAATATAATGTGTACAAAGCATTTTTAACGAATTCGTACGAAATACAGCAGATACATCGAAGTACTAGGACCGCAGGATTCGGATGTTATTGCCGAGACTCTTTGTGGCGGTCGACGGCCGAAAAATAATTCCGCAACGAGTCGTCAGCGCTGTTCGTCGCCGGCGCTTCGCATACTGAAACTCATGATCTCCTGGTACTTTATGCTCGGTAGTAAAATTCTCGTTTCGATGCCGACCACGCCCGACAAATCCACCTTAGAAAAGTTTCGAATCGTTAATAAAAATAATTTTTTTTATTAAATAGAATAATTATTAGAATAAAGCAAGTTTTAGTATTTTAATATAAAATTATGAATATTGACGGAACTGTATTGAAATATATAAATTTCGATTTCTATACGTTCTTTTAATTGTTAATTTTAATAGTAAATACAATAAATATTATCCTATGATTATCATATTTATTGTCATTTTTGGTTTTCCCCAATTGTTCTCATCATGATGAAATTAAAAAGAAATAATTTCATCTGTTGCCCATTTCAGTTTATGAGTGAAGCAAAAGTGTTTGTGGTTGTTTTAATAATGTTTAGTTATTTTTTTATGTGATTAAGTTTTTACTGAAAGGCTTGCTCCGATGTTCACGTGTAGATTTTTTTCCGAAATGTGATCGGTTTGGAAAACTACTCTAAGGAGGTAATTTTTGATTTTTTACAATATTATTCCTCAGTAGAAATGAAAATCCTAAAAAAAAAAAAAACGGAAAATTTAAGAAATATATTAGTATAATATTATGATTTCTTTCTCAATTGAACACTTTTTCACGAGAATACATACTCCGATTATCAAGTTTAGCACAATTTCTAAAAGAAATTTACAATAGACAGGTACGTTAAAAAGGTCAAATTTCGATTTTCGCCAGAGATTTCCCAAAAAAATTTCAGAGGAGTTTTAGAATCATTTTACGTTGCGCACAGGTATATATTAAATTATCCAAAATAATTAATACACCCTTCCTTTCGATAAAGAACACAAGGAATCTTAAAGATATAAAAGAAAAAAAAAATTAAAAATCTGTTACTTATACGAATATTGATCGAGCAACTATTTTTACAGACAACTTATTAGCTGTACGTATGAAAAATAAACTATGGATGAATTAAAACAACCGATTTATTTAACACTGTGTATTTTGGATTTAACTAAAACTCTAATGAATGATTTTAATTAAAACGTATTAAAATAATGTCAGATTATTATACGCAGCCACGGATTCTTTAATAGTATAAATTACAACCGATGATTTGTATACAGCTAATAAAACAATAAACAACTTTAAAACGAATTTGATTTTTCAGATTAGCTAGAGAAAAATATGCATTAAAAGCCCGAAATTAATATAAGAGTTTCAGGTTAATTTAAAGATGAGCTTTATGGTCAAATGATAACAGAGTTTTTGGGTTAAGATCTAAATTATATTCATTTGATGTATTTGAAAAAAATTAAGTAAAAGGTGTGAAAAAACCAAGTTAAATACGAACAATGTTAAAAAAATCCTAAATAAGTAAAACAGAACACTTTTAAAACAGATACACATAACATATATACTGTTGAACGAAACAAGAAAGCTCATAGTACATACGATGATAAAAGATAAATTCTAGGAAAAACTATTAATACAATAATTTGGGCACATAATTCTACAAAAAAGAGAGAACAATTTTCATGGAACACTTTGATAATTTAATATAAACAAATAATAAAAAAGAATGATAATTTTAATATAAACTATTTTTGGTAAACAATCTATTTCACGGGCGATGTTTAAAATATTATATTATTTCTTTATGTTAAAGATAAGTTTTTCCTAGTGCAATGTTTGTGTAACAATTAGTTTCATTATTATGTTTAAATAGTTTTTTAATTCGTTTATATTTATATTATGCATGTAAACAAAGAAAAGGTAATAAATACATTGTAAATAGAGATCAGAAAATAGTTTTAAAAGTGAGAGTTATGAGATTGTGCATAACCGACATATTTATACTACCTTCAAATATAATGTGTACAAAGCATTTTTAACGAATTCGTACGAAATACAGCAGATACCTCGAAGTACTAGGACCGCAGGATTCGGATGTTATTGCCGAGACTCTTTGTGGCGGTCGACGGCCGA